GAGACCACTTTGCCTTGGGAGACCCTACCAGGAGCATATTGCTCCCGACAACACAGCTCTCAGGTTCATAGAAGCACCCAAACCTCTCCACCACGGTAAGGTGATGGTTCCCGTAGAGGGAAGAATTAAGAAGAAGAAGAATTAATTTATTTAAATCCAATCTCTGTTTGCAATTCTCTGCTCATTTTCAGAGTCTGAATTTCCTTCTGTGATAGTAATGTTTAAGCTTAGAGGAACTGTGTGTAGGATTCAGTAGCATCTGGCGCTTAAGTTGCAGATTGCAACTTCTTTCACCTTTATTTAGCCAGATGGGTCACGTGAGAACCAATTCTCAATTACGATGATGAGCTGGCCAAGAGGCAGGGTTTTATTGGATCCAGTCACACCCACCAGTGCAGGATGAATGAGTCCTCTCCAAATTGTGGTTTCCATTCCAAATTGGCACACAAAACAACGGCACGTCTTCATGCTCACCAAATAGCAACAGAGACAATAGAGATTTATTATTCACAGTTTTCCAGGAAGTACTTACTGCCCTAAAATGATATCCTGCTTGCAGATTCTAATTCAGATTTGTAACAATATATGTAAAGACAGTGAAAATGTGGATGCTGTTTCTGACTGTAGCAGCGTGATGTCAGTACTAACGTGCTGTCTTGTATCTGTGTCTTGTTGTTGTGCAGTATTTTGTTTGCAGACATTGTGGGCTTCACCCAGCTGTCGTCGTCCTGCAGCGCTCAGGAGCTGGTCAAACTGCTCAACGAGCTCTTCGCTCGCTTTGACAAGCTAGCCGCAGTGAGTGACATTTACTTGTTCCAGTTACGTATGTGCTTTACTGAATTGAATGATCAAATAATCTGATTTAGAATTTCTCCATCTTTCATTTGAATTATTTGGGATTATTTTAAGTTATTATGTGTAGTCATTCAGTCAGTTACATAAAAGACCTTACTTCTGGGGATGACTGTCCTAATCATGAAATCTTGTATCTAGAGATTTTATATTTATTTACACTACCAGTGTTTTCCACAGAGAAAAGCTTTCAGTGTTGTTCTTTGTTCTTCTTTCAAAAAAGAAATACTAAATGGACCTGTACTTGTATAGCGCCTTTCTAGTGTTCCGACCACTCAAAGCGCTTTTACACTACAGGCCACATTCACCCTTTCGCACACATTCACACAGCGATGGCAAAGCCCATCGAACAGAAGCTAATGCATTCATACACATTTACACATTCGGGGTTCAGTATCTTGCTCAAGGATACTTCGACATGTGGCACCAGGAGCTGGGGATCGAACCAACAACCTTCCGATTAGGGGATGACCTGCTCTGCCTCTGCGCCACAGCCGCAAAGTAAAGCAAAGTGATACATGGCAGCTGGTTGCAATGAAAATGACTGGAAATATCCTTACTCTCCTCCGGTCCTCAGCCGCCTCCAGTTTCTTCTGGATGTCCTCCAGGGAAAGGTCTCTCTTTGGGGGGCTGGTGACGCAGTGGGCAACATCAGACACAGGGGAGGACGGCTTGAGGATGACCTCAAAAGCCTGGCCTGAGGCTCGCTTGTTAATGGGCTTGATGTCCATGTCTGCATGTATGTGCGTTAACAAGAAAGAAAGACAGACAGACAGAAAAAATACTTTGTTGTCTCTGTGTGACTATTCAAGTATGTTTGATAAAGAAGATACAAATTGAAGTCTTGAGTCTTAGTATCACATACCTTCAAAGTCACCCATGATGTTTTTGCGGGTCTCGGGGTACAGACAGGAGCAGATGAGTGAGAGAACTGAGATCTCCTTCATCTTCTCTTTGTAAGCTGTGGAGGAAACATGACTGTGTTACACATACAGCTGTATATAAACTCACACATGCACATACTAGACAAAATATCATTAACCTACTAACATACAAAAAGATGAAACATCATTAACCCACTTCTACCTCCACAGGAGGGCCTTCATGTAAATATACAGATTTTTAGAAGAATAATTATTCATCAGATCTTCCAAAAAATAACCCCATCAAAGGAAATCTTGTGGAGCTGAACTGCTCTGGGTTTTGTAGGCATTTTTTGGCCTTTGTTTTCTCTGAGCCGCAAGGGGAGCAGGCTGGATGTGTCCTTACTTGGCCTAATTTCCCCAACAGCCAAGATGCTGCCGTCCCCACAGGATTCTCCACACATCATTAGCTATGCATTTCATTTTGGTCTATTATTTATTAACATAGCCAGAACAACGCCCTATTGCCTCTCAGCTGTTTTGTGGCTAGCACCAAAAAAACAGGTCATTTTGAAAGCAAAGAACCCAGGATTTACAATAGATATTTGGATAATCTCTTGGTTGTTTCTTATCTTCTCTGACTGTGGCTTATGGATAGAGGCTAACAGTCGAGGGTTTAGCTTATCAGCATAACACAGCAATATGACTGCCCACCCCTTGTCCATTTGAAGTTAAAAGTTAATAACACTGAAACAAAGCTGGCATCAAATCATACTGCCTATATTTAGCAACCTGCACCCTACTCAATAGGGAGGGACAAAGTGCCCCAAAGGCCAGACAGTGAAAAAACAGAAAAGAAAAGAACAACCAACCTTGTCTAACCTTGATTTCTTTTTTACTCCTGTGCTTTTGGCACCTACTACTTTGTAATGTGAGCCCAGAGTCCCTGCAGGGAGAACGGCAAAAATATCTGCAACACACTGCAGGTTGGGAAATATTCTTCTTTTGCACATGGCTGCTGTGTTCTGTCAAGGTACACTGCCTCATAGTCGAGATTTGCATGCAAACTGTCATACTGTAGCACAATCCATCACCCAGAGCACAAGGCCTATAGGGCTGAAGTGTGCCACGTTGATTCATGATTTGCAGCAGGCTACAGTAGCAAAGCCAGAAATGAGATTTACTGTGAAAGAGCTTCTCCATGGTGGGGTACGGTGTACAGTATGATTAATCCAAATCCTCTTCCTTACTCATATTCCCTGCTCACTCTCTCCCCTTCTTCTCTGTATCTCGCTTTCTGCCCTGCAGACTGGCAGACGCCACAGTAATGTGATCAACTCTCAGATGTAGCTCTCACTACTCTCTGATGGCCTTGTTAACCCCTTCCCTGAGGAGGAAGTGAGAGAGGGTGGAAGCATGGTAGGGTGTGCAAAAAACTGAGAAATGCTGGAAGAAAGAAGAGAGGGTGGAGTGGGAATGGGGATGAAGGTGGAGTTGGTAGAGGAACAGAAAAGAGTGAAAAAATTTTACAGATGAAAAGGAAAAATGGATGGGGTAAGATGGATAAAATATCAGGGCATGGCTTTACAGTCATGGTAACACCTTTCTGATATAAGCAGACAGACTGGAGGATTAAAAGAGGGCAGCTCCCATTGGGACTTATAGCCGCCATCAACTGCCCCCAGGACAGCTAATGGAAGCAGCCACCTCAGGTGGATAGTGCTTTAATTTGTAATTAGTGGACCGCACCATTTCTGCTGACAAGAGAGGGGGTACAGGGCTTTTGGAGGGTTGTCACAGGCTCATTAAGTGCTGTGTCTATGTCAAGACCCCAGCAGCCATTTTCTCCCACACACAAACCCACTTGACAGCTGAAGACTCGAACAGTTAACACTTCAGCGGAGCAGGTAATTTGGGTTAAGTGCTTATGGAGCAGATCAGCAGAGATTCCTGTTTGGTGGTTGCCAAGTTCTGGGTGGGGCCTTTTATTGTGTTCAATAATGTTTTCAAACAGTTTATCTCGATCTAGACTAGTTTAGGGCAGCAAATTAAAATGTTTTTTATAATCTATTCATCTGATTATTTTCTTGAAGTGTCTGTAAAACATAAAAAAAATCCCCCTCACAGTTTCAACAACCAAAAAAATATTCAATTTACAAGGATAAAAAACTGATAAAGGTAGCATTTTACATATCATATTTGATGAGCAGGGACCATCAAATGTTTGGCATTTATGCTTAAAATATGACTAATCCTTGCAGCTCTATTCCAGTTTTATTTGAGGTGAGTAAGCTTGTTCTTCACTCTGACTGTATCAGTATAAGTTTCATGTCTTTGTTATCTTAGAAGATAAGCGCTGTAAATTGAAACAGCTCTCTAACTCAGGGCTGTGGAGATTTTTCTTTTATAGCCCTAATCAAAAATATATGAGATTCTCTATTGTGCAAAAATATGAAATTGCTGCTGTATTTCCCCTGAGAGAAAAGATCTTCTCCTTCTGTAACCACTGTAGTAATAAGATCACTCCCAGTGGATCAGGCACATAAAAATGACAAATGATCCAGAATGGCATTCCACAGCAAGAAGTGTCCTAACACTACCACATACTGGCTGAGTTTCAGGCATGCTGGTTCAGGTTCTGTCTGTCAGTCTGAGACCAAATAATTTCAGACAGAGATGACACCACTTTACTGCTCCCACTCCACTCCAGCAGGCTGGTTTTAACCAGTCAGCTCTGCATCCTCTTAGAGAGCTGCTCCTCCTGTCCCGACCACAGACACACAGCCAGCAAACTGCACTTCCTCTTTCAATCCATCAGCCAAAGAGCACAGATCATCAATATCTACTGTACCTCCTCCCCCGCAAGCATTCCTCTCCACCAGCACCTTCTGCATCCCCAATCCTCCATTTCATCTGTTGCTGATGTATTCTCCCTCTCAATCCTATCTTCTGCCACCACTACCACACCTCTGTTTGGTACTATATTTCCCTCCTCATCCTCCTCCTCCTCCTCCTCCTCCCTGTTTTCCTATTCTTTTAAAGGCCCAAACCCCCACTATGAGAATTTAAACAGAGAATGAACAATTGGCAATAGACCTTATGCCTTTTTGCTCTTTGAAACTGTTGACGAGGGTGTGAGCAAACTGCCTATTAAGAAATCAAAAATGAAATCAAAATGTGACCCAGAGTTTTCTGCCCTCCTGGCTGCCATAACCCAGCAGCAGAATGGGCTTGGCATCGGTGTTCGGCACATACAGGCCCTTTACAGCATGGCCACCCGGCAACAATATAATCACAAAATTATGAAGGTATTCCTACAGCAGAATTGGCTATTAAAACCACACATTATGGCCCCCAGATGATCAAGGGCAGGTCCAGTCATTTGATGTAGGAGGGATGGGCTAAACCGCACCCTGTGTCCGGCCAAGGAGATCAGTGCAGGGCTGCAACTGAAGATTATTTTCAATAAATCAATAAATATGTTGATTTATGAAAAGTCAGATAATTGCAGAAATGCCCATCTCAGTTTCTTAAAGCCCATGCTGTGGTGTCTTGAAATGTCTTGTTCTGACTATCAGTCTAAAACCCCAAAGATGTTCAGTTTATTATCACATAAACCCAAGAAAAGCAGCATATCTTCACAATTGAGAAGCTGAAACAGGAGACTGTTTTAGTAATTTTTGCTTGAAAATTGATTAACATGATTGAACAATACAGCCACCTATTTCATGTCTAAGCTCCAGATCAGTGCACCAAAAGTGCAGAAGGATGCTGTGTCACAAATTAAGTTTGATTTGAGTCTATTGTTCGTATAACCTGAGGATAACATGACATTTGCCAAACCAGGACACAAATCTCTCTTAGCCAGATGTTGATGATCACAAGTGATGAACAGATCATGAGCCTACGGCGTACCATCACTGCTGGATTGATGTCACCTCTTCCTTAAAGAGCAGCAGTCATCTGAACCAGTAATGGGAGTGTGCTGCATTGATCAATGGGACTCGGTGATAAATCAGGATGAATTATGGGTCCAGGAGACTGTGGAGCTTTATGCACATTACCACAATAGCGATGCAGATGATAAGATGAGGAATATGTGTGTGGATACGACTAGTTTGCTTGAAAATTGATGGTACGATTGCCTGAGAAGCTTCTGTTTCTGTACACAAAGGAATTGATTTTAGGGAAGCGGCTGAATGACCACACCTAATTGGATATGACAAGTGTGCATGATAAGGATCAGGAAAAGTGCTTGGGAGCCTTAATGCACACGGGAGTGGTTCTGAGCACGAGTTTGTTTGCGGTAGAGTTGATGCATCTTATAATGCAGAGGCTTTAGGGTGTCTCTATCCTCAGCTCTCCTCCGAGGAATTAAAAACCAACAAATTTACATATTTTCTGGGGTATTTACCCCGCCTTAAAATACACGCCTAAAATAATAACAGCCGAGATGAACTCAACGACCCTGCTGGGTGCTGACTGGCATGATGACTGCTTTTCTCCTAGAGTGTCTGCTCCCTGCCCATCCCATTCTGCCTGTCCACAGCTCAAATCATGGAGGAAAGCAGAGGAGGCGGCGGCGGAGGAGGAGGAGGATGAGGAGGAGGAGGAGGAGGAGAGGGGAATAAATATAACAGTCAGGGTTTAGTTGCCGGCATCCCTTTGCGCAAGACACCAGGACCCTTACCGCTGTCTGTCTGCATGCCCCTCCATCCATCAAGTGCCTAGTCAACCATAAAACAAACAGACTATCCCCTAGACTGGCCACACACACACACACACACACACGTTACCATCACCACACTCCCTTAAAGGCACCTCTCCTTAATGCTTCGAACAGGCCTTCTCCTCTGCAGGTCACCCACCTGTGTTTACTGGCCTGACACACGCTCCACAAAGTGCAGTGCCTATGTTCAAATATTAAATTATAATCAAATATATCAAGCCTTAAAAGGTTGACCAAATACAAGGGACTAACCACCAACCTGCCATAGCGATCGCAATCCTCATTTTATTTCTCCACATATTCCTACCGACATACTGTCACATTATCACAAATGTGGCTGACTAATATTAACAGTCCTACTCGAACACTAATCAACGGATACATTTACATAAGTCTATAGCACTTCTCAATAGAGATATGGAGTCATCGCCATTCTCTTGAGCAACTACATTCCTTCCTTTATCGCCAGTCCATAAATTCCACCATATCATCTCAGACTAGCCAAACGCGAGCTTCTGGAAAGAAAACAAGGGACTGCTCTATCCACCCCACCCCCGTCCGTTTCTCTCTCATCTCCTCTTTCTCTCTCTCTCTCCTCTCTCTCCATCTCTCGCTCTCTCTTCTCTCATTCATGCCTTTAGCGGTCACCCACAGAATAGGTTCAGCAGGCTTTACACTAACAGCTACATAAGATGGCCCAGTTTTCATAAGGAGATTTGTCACGGTGAAAATATTGCACACCCCGGAGAGCGGGCTGGCGCGCTTTGAAGGGACCGGAGATGTTGGGTGGGGTCGCTGGCGCTGCATTATGCTGCACGGCTCTGAGTCAGGCAATAAGGGGCAGGTGCGGCAGGCAGGCATCGACTGAAATGCTGCTGTGTGAGGAGAAACAATTAAAAATCACCTCTCTTGTGTCGATATGGATTCATTCTCTTTAATTATCTGGATTTAAATTGAATAATAATAAAAAAAAAAAATATGCGTCACTGATATGGCAAACTGAATCCAAAAAACGGGCTCACACTGATCGGCACTTATTTGGATTTAGGATCAAACAGAAACCTACAAATGACTTTTAGCTGAAATAAAGGTTGAAGAACATGAAAATGTTGCTTCAATCGCACAACTTATTTTTTATAGACTTGCAGAGGAGTTTGGCCGCTCCCTCTCATCAACCCTCAGCATCCTTTTGTGCCATGGGTGTCGCCACAGCCTCTCAGCATCCCTCAAACCTGCGAAGACTGCTGATATCTAAGAAAGAGAAAATTAAAAAATAAAGGATTAAGTGCACAAAAAACTCACCGATTGCGGTCTTAGCCATTTCTGTACGGTGGTGTCGGGGCGGGTTGACCGGAGGAGTGTGCGTCGGTTGCTGGATGCTGTATCTCGGGGTGAAGGGACTGCTGGTAAGGCACAACTGAGTCAGCAGAGAAGGTGGCTGCCGGTGCGCCTGGTGGTCTGTTATGAGCTGCGTCAAGTCAGCGGGAAATAACTAGAACACAGCCGGAAGTGTGCGGACTCAGCCTTCAGAATAAAATGTATAAACGTTACAGTTCAGGTATCTTTATTATCTCGAATGGGAAACTTGATGTGTAGTCAGGGGGCACAAACAAAAAAAAAGCAACACAAGTACAGAACACAAAAATGGTTCCTTCAATATATAACATACAGTAAACCATTATGAATACATGGATTGACACAGTTTCATGTCGATAATGAGATCATCATTACCCACTCTGATGATGTAGAGCTGCTACAATTAGTCGACTAATCGATCAAGCAACTATTTTGTTAATGGATTCATTGTTTTATTCATTTTTCAAGCAAAAATTGCTAAACCAATTCCCTGTTTTCAGCTTTTTTTAGGTCATATATGATACTACACTGAATATCTTTGGACATTTGGTCAAATAAAACTTTGAGCTGTGAGACATTATAACTGATATTGTTTACTGTTTTCTGACATTTTATTGACTAGACGATTAATCGAGAAAATAATGGGCAGTTTCATTGATACTGAAAATAATGGTTGCAACATCAAAATGTTGCACAGGAGTATTCTGGGAAAGATACAATACAATTTAGAACATTTTGTTTCTACCATACTTCACCAGAGGGAGAAAGAAACATTTTTGGTGCGGTTGGGTTATGTTCTGGAGGTACCCATCTTAATCAATTATTTCTCCTAACTGACTGGAATTTGTTTTATTCTTCTCATTATTATCCTTTAAATTGTGCAGTTTCAAAGTAGATTTATTTAGTTTTAATACTGTAGCCAACTGGGCAACCCTTATACTCGATCTCCTGGCAGACTTCTTGTTGGTTTTGTGGCATTAGGCATGAAAAAATCCATCCAACAAACTGTGCCCACATCCACACATTACATTACAAGATGCACCAGATTTTTAAAAAGGGCTTTATTTTGAAATGAACGAGAGGAAGTCTTAATATACAATCTGATTGGCTTGACACTGGCTCGGTAATGAGCGTTTATGTGCTCCCTTGACGCGCCTCTCCTAACCAAAGGCCTGACAAATCCAACGTCCCCTTGTATTGTAGAGTTCAGGCCCTCAACACTGTGGGTGTTTCCCTCTTTGTTTCTGTGCTGATGAGCAGGTACTGAACTGTCCTTGGGGCTGGAAAAAAAGGAAGAATGACTCTTGAAAATGATATCATGTAGATTAAGCACACTTTATTTTACATTTTCATAACATTCAGGTTTGAGATAGTTCATTTCAAGCCTTTGTGGGGGTGAATAAAGCAGAAGAATTAGAGGCATTTGCCCAGTTTCCATATAGTCTATTTGATGGCACTCGTATAATCCGTGTACACTACATACCACCCAGTTATTGCCTCTTTGTAACTGCAGAAAATACTGATGCTCAAATCATAGCACAGCAAATAAATGGGTGGAATCATTCAAACAATCATCGCTAGGTGGCAGCAAATCTAAAGTTACATGAGCTTGAGAAAGGCACCGCTTGAGGGAAACATAGGCTGCAGTGCTGTACCAGTCCAACCAATTCCATTCAGACACATGTCCACTTTAATTTATAGCTTATGTTTTTTTTTTGTTTGTTTGTTTTTTTGCAGTTATCGGGCTGTTTCTTAATTTGGTTTTATTAACAACTCAATCTATGCATGAGGTCCAACACCTCACAGGCAACACAAGGCGCAGTTACATAGTGACCGACAGAAACCACAAGTTCCTTATCAAAAAGCATGTTTGCATCGATAACAAAGCTGTTACGTTGCTGCTGTTTATTTAAAACGACACACAGATGCCAGGAGTATAGGTTATGACCTTATGAATGGTCACTGTCACTGATTAACCAGAGCAAAGGTTTTAGTTTGTAGTAATTCTGCAGCTATGAGTTTGGAGACATCATTCAAGTTGGGAAACAAGGTGAAAAAACTGCTTTACAGACAGAAAAAACAGGTTGGAGTGTAAAAAAATATAGAATAAAGTGCAGTTTAACAAATACTAAACACATGTGTGTTTTAAAGGGAACTATATGTGCAGAGCGCTGTTGCTATATTAACCTTTGCCAACTCACAGTGGCACACCTGTGTGACCGCATCACTGCTCAAATGCAGATCAATGCGCCGACCCGCCGGTAAAACGTCATTCATGTTAGTTAGTGCGTGATTGATCTGTTGATAGGTGGTTTTCTGTCATCGATTAGAGACAGAGGTGGATAAATATTGGGTTATTTTTGTATACTGGTGTTTTAATGATCTGTCAGCCCTCTGGAGGAGGTGGTAACGTTACCAACCATCACTCCCGGCAGATGAAGAGGATGATGATGATGATGAGGAGGAGGAGCTAGTTTACATGCAGATGTTCACTCGCTAAAGTTGGTCTCACACAATCTGAAACACAAGCACATGTGCTGCGACAAAACAGCAGGTAATTAATTCATCTTTTAATTATTTTATTGTCGGGATACTAACAGTCTGACCTGAGCCGTTAAAGGACATTTTAGTCGAAGCGTTTCCACTCTAAAGAACCGATGGTACCGCAGTTAAGCTAGTTCATATCACGTGTTTCCACATGTTGGCGTAAATGTCAACATCATTTATATATATATATTTATTTATATTCATATATATATATATATATATATA